GTGCTGGGTCAGGGACCACAATGTTACTCCCATGTTCCCTCTTCTGCACCCTCTGCGCTCTCCCCAGTGCCAGCTGTTTTCACCGCCATTACGTGGCTGTTGCGCCTTCTCGGTGTAAACCCCGGGGCTGGCTGCCTAGGAGAATGGGACACACTTGCCCCAAGGGACAGTGTGCTGCTGAAGACCGACAGGGCGGGCCCCAGGGAGGATCTGACGGGGTGGGGAATGCAGGAGGAGCCGGCAGGCGGGGGGCTGAGAGCGACGTTCCAAAGGGGAAACATCGTTTTTCAGTAACAACGGAGGCCAAGGGGTCACCAGGCCACTGGGCAGTGAAAGTGGGGGGGGGGGTCCCCAGTTCTATTAAAGATGGTTTCTCTTTCCTTTGCGGTGGGCGTGGCCCCGGCGTTTGGAGACAAGCCCGGCTTTCTGGCCCAATCACAGATGTTCCTTGGCCTCCTTTACTCCTGGCTCAGAGCTCTTAGGCAGAGGAGCCATCCCATGGGAGCCAATGGATGGGAACTCGAGAGTAGGGCCTGCGCCCAAGGGCTCTCAGCCACACAAACTGCGGGACCCTCAGGCTGGCCTCCTGTGGCCTTGGGGCTGGATTCTGGCTTAGACAAGGGCTATAGCTACAGATAAGGGCACGGAGGGACCTCTGCCGGATGAAATCAACTGGTTTGGAAGGCGGGGTGGGCGGGGGAAACCCATGGTGCATGTGGCCCCTGCCCAACCCAGGCAGTGTCCCACAGTAGCCCAGTGGGGCAGGATCTTTGCCTTGCTTGCCCAGGGGGATGGCTGTTGCCAGCTCTCCACTGCAGGCCGTTTTCTGACAACACCCGCTCAACTACAGCAGCCCATCTTCATTTTTCACACTGGCCTGCCCCATCGTGCAGGTAACTCGTCAGCGCTGTGAAAGCCCCCCGCCGCCCGCCGCGGGGCGGCCCAGCCATAGGTTGGATTGTTGTGTTCTGTAAGGCGGGGTCTGGAGACAAGCCAATGAGAGGAGGACGAGGAGAGGAAAACAAAAACACTCGTAAGTAGTCCATCAGCATTGCCATTGCAGGGCACTGGGAGGAGGCAACTCAAGGCTGACAGAACAGGGCTGAGGGCAACGCTCCCATTAGCTTCCTTCCCTTCCTCTCTGCCTGCCTGTGGCATCGGTCCCCGCTCTCTGCCCCTCCCTCCCTCATCACTGTGGGCTCCGAGCCTTTCCTCTCCCCTTGGCTGGGGCCTGGCAGAGGCGCTTCTGCGCCGTCCCCGTGGCGTGGGGCTGTCTCTCCTTGGTGACGTGGGCTGGGAGTGGGGTGGGACACGCTCCCCAGGCCCCCGGCCAGCCACACAGCTGAGAAGATGCAGAGAATGCTGGGACGCGAAGTCAGTTTTCCCCACGCTCGCTCATTGCCTTGCACGGGGACACGCCTCGGGGGGGCCAGGTCAGTGTGTATCCCCAACACCAGCCAGGAGCCCGGTGGCCCCTCAGAGACCCACCGATTTATTTGGGCATCAGCTGTGGTGGGCAAAACCCACCTTATCAGATGCATCCATTAGTGGCCGTGATGACCTCCCCAGCCCCTTCCAGCCTGATGCATCTGGCGAGGGGGCTTTGCCTAGGAGAGCTGAGGCCCACATAGCTCTGTGAGCCTGCAAGGAGCCACAGGACTCTCGTTACGTTACACCCACGGGCTGGGAGTGGCAATCCATCGTGGCTGCGAGTCACAGCCTAGCCCCCGGGCGCCATCTGACGGCGTCCCGGCTTGACCAAGTCCTGGCTGGGATGATGGAGTTGGGGTTGGTCCTGCCTTGGGCAGGGGGCTGGACTCGAGGCCTCCTGAGGGCTCTTCCAATTCTATGATTCCAGGCCAGGAAGTGTGACGTGAAGCCCAGGGAACGAATGGAAAAGCAGATACAGAACAGCATCAGCACAGACGGGAAGGGTGGGAATATAATTAACGCCAATCCATACAAGATGCCAGAACTGGAAGGGCCCTCGAGAGGCATCGAGTCCAGTCCGCTGCCCACACGGCAGGACCCAGCACTGTCTAGCCCATCCCTGACAGGCGTCTGTCCAACCTGCTCTTCAGTCTCTCCAGGGATGGGGGTTCCACAACCTCCCTGGGCAATTGATTCCAGTGTTTCCCCACCCTCAGGTCAGGCTGGACATTACGAATCCTGCAGGGTCTGGAAGAGCAGCCAGAGGGGGACCGAATGGAGTAAGGGCTGCTGTGAGAGGATGGTGACCCAGAGCTCTCCACAGCCAGCGGAGCCAGGCCAGGGTGTAACAGGCCGAGTCCGCAGCAAGGGAGGGTGAGGTTCGACATTTGGAAAAACTGTCTGGCTCTATGGACACTGCGGTTCTGGGATGGGCCGAGGGAGGCTGGGGAGTCCTCGTCACTGGCGGGTTTAGGAACAGGCCGGTTACCTGGCCCTGCCTCCATGCATGGCTGGATCTGGTGACCACTCAAGGTCCCTTCCGGCCCAATGTTTCTATCGTCTGTGGTCTCTCCTCACATTACAATGGCTCCTTCCTACGCAGGCAGCCTTGTTCTGCCCTCCGGCCCGTCCATGCCCTCCTGGAGTCCTTGGGCATGCACGTGCCTGGACCCAGCCCGACCCGTCTACCGGTCCCACAGGACGGCGCGTCCAGCGCCCGGGCAGGACTAGTCATGTCCTCTCTCGGCCTCGCAGAGAGAAGCGGCGGAGGCCGAGGCTGGAGGACAAACACCGTGCTCGCCAGGGGAGGAGGGGGGCGGACTGCCAGGGCAAAGCCAGCAGCTCTTACTCAGCCCTCCGGCCCACAGCAATCTGCCGGCGCTCTGCCTGAGGGAAGACTGTGGGAGCCGGTCCAGCGTGTGCTAGGCCACACCCGGAGCGCTGGCTAGTACCCCGGGAGACAACAGGCCTTGCTACGTGCCCTGCACTTCTCTGATGGGCCCTGATCTTGTGCTGCACAGAAGGTGGAGGAAAGGGAACCCTCGGAAGGTCTGGGCTCCCCCTCCTAGATATTGATCCAACAGCCACTGAACTCACTGGAAAGACTCCAAGGGATGTCAACACAAGGCTGCAGTGCATTGTGGGATGTTCACGTGCGTGCAGCTGGTCCAGCATCCCACTGCGTGGTACCATGGGCACCCAGACCCATTTCCTCGACTACGCTAAGCCTGCCAGCCCTATGGTCCCACCAGACCAGGGATACCACCGGTGGCCGCAGCTAGCTCACACCCCTGAGGCCTTCTCTACACACATTTGCAGTGCACGGACACATGGATTTAGGCGGAAGAGCTGTCCAGTGGGGGACAAACTCTTCTCCAGTCAACTTCAGCGAAACAACAGTATCCCGGCTGACCCAACAAAATGAGGGTCCTCATCCCCACAGTAGCTAAATCGGCCTAAAATCAGACCTGAAGCTAAACCAGTGCCGCTTGGCATGGCCTCCAGCATGAGACAACAAACCAAAATGGGGCCTCTAGTGGGCCAGGGAGCCATGATCCCGGAGGGGCAGTTTTGATTCCCATGTGCCACGGGTCTGTCTGAGATTCCCCTGGGGAGTGAGCGCTGGCTCGAGTTGGGAGCCTGGAGGTCTGTGATCAGCCCTATCCCGTTCAGTTTGAGTTGTCTTGGAGAGGAGGGACGCACAGGAGCAAGGATGGGAGGGGGAGAGATCTGTAGGGAAGGAGTGAGAGTGGGAAAGAAGAAGAAGAAAGGGGGCGGGGGGAGGTGGCAGAGCGGGATTTTACACTAGCTACAAAAACCTTACTGAATCCAAACATAACAATTCCAGAGGAGATGGACTCTACCGCTGTCAGCTCGACTTTCTGAGCAATGGACAGGGAAGGAGCGCGGAGGTAAGCTCTCATGAACATAACAAGACATGTTGCTTTCAAATAAAGGGAGGAAGGGAAGTTTGGCGGAGGTTTGCAAGGTTAGGCGTTTTTACACTAGCTACAAAAACCTTACTGAATCCAAACATAACAATTCCAGAGGAGATGGACTCTACCGCTGTCAGCTCGACTTTCTGAGCAATGGACAGGGAAGGAGCGCGGAGGTAAGCTCTCATGAACATAACAAGACATGTTGCTTTCAAATAAAGGGAGGAAGGGAAGTTTGGCGGAGGTTTGCAAGGTTAGGCGTGGCAAACGGGCACAGGAAATGGGCAAGCAGGCTGGGGGGGAGGTGGGGGATGTCGGTGAAGGGGAGGAGTGAGGGGTGGGGGGGACTGGACACGGCGGCGGTGGGGGGGGAGCCTTCATTTTGCTGTTTGGTACTGTGTGAATCCACCAGAGAGAGAAAGCAAGAAAAAAAAAAACAAACGAAAACAACAACAAACAAAAAAAAAGGGGAGGGGGGAGAGGGGGGCGGGTGGAAAGGGGGAAGGAGGGAGGGCACAAACAACATTTTATTCAATTTTTGTTTGAATAAAAATATTGTGTATCATAATCAGACCGAAAGGAAACCTCTTGCAAAAAAACGACATCGAACAAAAGAAAAGAAACAAGGCCACAGTAAAAGAATCATAAAACTCGAGCTACAACGAGAGAAATAGAACCGATATATTTATACACTCGAACTAAAGAGGAAAGTCAGTAGCAACCGGTGGCAGCAGTCTTGAGAGAGAAATGCTCTTACTGAGTTAGCAGCCCATGCAAAAAGACGAGGTTACAGGAGCCCAGAGGGGAGACGAGAGACAGAGGAGGAGGAAGGAAGGCGAGAGAAGGTCCACAGAGGAAGGCAGGGGATCGAGAGCTCACGACAGGGAAAGGGCGGGGGTTGGGGGCTGCTCCCCTCCCCTGAGGGAGGACCGAGGGTGCGGGCTGAGCAGTCCTTCAGGAGGAATCCCAGGAGCTGCCACAGCTGGATGAGCGGCGGGGGGGG